CCCCCCCCCCCCCCCCCCCCCCCCCCGCGCTGCGCCGTGCAGACGCCGCAGACGCTGGGCGGCTCTGAGTTTGTGCCTGGCAAGCTGGATGCTGTGGGGGAGGTGGAGGAGGGCGGCGAGTTTGACCCGGCAGACCTGCTGGAGGAGGGCGGGGCGGCAGGCGGCGGCGTGGTGGTGGAGGAGTCGGCAGGTGGGCCGGCAGGGGCAGCCGCGGGCGGCTGGCGGGCATGGCGTGAAATGACGCATGCTGGGCGGGGCTTGCGGTTGACTCGCCTGCTCCCGCTTGCGCCGCAGGGCCCAAGCGCAAGCTGGCTGCCACCACGGCTGCCATGGCCAGCGTGCCGCGAGCGGGGGGCAGCGCCGGGCGCGCCCCCGCCCCGCAGCCGGCCAAGCGTGGCGGCAAAGGCATGTCCGTCAAGGACAGGCTGAAGAAGAAGCTCAGGATATGAGGCACGGCGGCGCGGTGGGCGCACACAACAGGTGCTTGGGACGCCTGGCGCACGCCTGACCACTGCACAAATAATTGACTTTGCCTGTTGCATGCAAGCACTGTGTAGCACCATGTGACGTTTAAGCATAGTCCTGGTTCCTCAAGTTCAAATGTGGGAGGAGGGGGGTGGTGTGGACCACTCTCGGCGCGCACAGCGGGCGACGGTGCGGGACGGCGGGGGTACACCTCTCCGGATCCCAGTGAGCAGTGTGTGTTTGTTAACCTCGCTCTCTTAGTATGTGACCATGGGTCACATGCCGGCGCTCCTGGCTTTCGCCATGCTTTGGGCAGCGGGGGCTGCAAGTTCAGGTAACAGGCTCCCTTACCTGCACGATTGTGGGTTACTGCTGGTCTGTTCATGCCACAGCAAGTGATCGCCATGATCGGAGGCCAGGGGCTGCCTGCAGCCTGTCTCTCACGGAAATGTGGAGTGTCCCACATGCGCCCCTACCACAAGTGTGTCGCGGCCGCTCTCCCCGTTTCGTTGCCGCAATTCGGGTGGTTGGAGCTGGCTGGAGCGCCCGGCGCTCACCTAAACCTGACCAGTTTCGCAACCCTGCAGAACCCGCGGCCCTCCCGCCTGCAAGCCTCGATTTGAAGGTCGCATCGAAGTGGCTGCCCAATGCCGCCGGCAAATACGATTGGAGCCGGGCAGGCTATGCAGGCAAGGTGGCAGCAGCCACCACCGCCGCCGCCAGCAGCTGCAGCGCATTCAGAAGCCACACACCCACATTCAGGCTCACCCGGTCCTGCCCACCAGCTGTGTCTTTTTTGCCTCGTGTCACCCCCGTGTGGTGCCATACCGCAGGGGGGGAGCGCAGCATCCCCCAGGTGCCGCCTGGGGCGACTTTCAGTGTGCGCCGCTATGGAGCCAAGGGGGATGGCAAGACAGACGACAGCAGAGCGGTCCAGGTGAGGGCGCATGCTGCCGCAGCAAGGTCTGTGCAGGTTGGCGTGGTGGCGGGTGGCGGCATGGATGCATTGCGCTGAACATGCCCCACACATACATGCCATCTCCCCACACGCCCGCAGGCGGCCCTGGCGGCGACCATGGCCAGAGGCGGCGTGCTGCTCTTCCCCCGTGGCACCTACCTGCTGCGCAGCCCGCTGTTCATTGATCGCAGCAGGGTGGTCATCATGGGCGAGGGCCCCGCAGCGACCAGCCTGGTGTTTGCTCGCTCCCTGTCAGCCGTGTATGGCGGCAGCTATACCGCAGACCCATGCACCGGTGCGCACGCTCGGGCTCAGCAAAGTGCCTCGCCCTGCTGCTGGCATGCCTGCTGCATGCCAGGCCCATCCTCCCACGCTGCCCGTGTGCAGGCAAAATCAAGTCTACCTGGGCGTTTGGAGGCGGCTTCATCACGCTGTCTGGGAAGGCTGGGCGGCCCAAGCGCCCAGAGCAGCTGGCCAGGGTCAAGGGGGACTACCCGCCTGGCACGACCCGCCTGAAGGTGGGGGGGCTGCTCCGCTGAGGGGGCTGCTGAGCGCTCATGGTGGTGCTCGGTGGCCAACAGCCGAGCACTGCCCGATGGCTTCCCGACGCGACGTGCCTGCTGCGCCCGCTGCCCCCAGGTCGATTCCACTGCTCCCTTCAAGGCGGGCATGTGGGTGGCGCTGCTGCTCAACGACCAGTCCACCATCCTCCCCTCAGGTCGGCTGCTGCCTGCACAGTGCGCCATGCATGCAGGAAGCTGGCTCTGCTGTACCCATGGCATGCTGGAGATGCAACCTCAGGTGGCCTTTTTACACGCACACTACCCCAACCTGTGCTCCTCTGTGGCAACCTCCCGCATGGCGCGGTGCAGGCGCCAAGGAACCCGACTATGTGAATTGCACCCTGGCCGGCGGCAAGGGGCGGCGTCTGCAGCAGGGCTCCGCCGCCGCCCGGCTCTTTGCTCTGCCGCCGCCAAGCGACCCCATCCTGCAGCTGGCTCTGGAGGCGGCTGCCAGGGAGACGGATGAGTTCATCTTGCCACAGCAGGTTGGATGGGGGGCAGGAGGGAGGCCTGGGAAGGGATGCCTCGCCCTCTCAAATCGAAGGCATGGATTTGTGTTGGGCTGCCGGCACCCTGTGCAGCTCATCCCCCTGGCTGGTTGTGTCATTAGGCTGGCTGCTGGGCCTGCAGGCCGCGGCAGCGGATGCGCTGCATGCTGCCAGCGGCGGCGAGGTGGTGGCCTCGATGGCGCCCCGAGGCTCAGTGGCTGCTTGGATCTATGGCAACAACCTGGTGGACAGGTGAGGGGCGGTGGGTGCAGCGGGGCGCTGCACGGGGGTGGCTGTCGTCAAGTGATGCACAGCAGTACCACCCAACATGCCCTTGCCTGCTCTGCAACACTCTGGCCTCCCCCACCCCTCCCCTCGTGAGGTGCGCCTGCAGCGGTGGGCCCGGTGCGCTCAACGAGAACTCTGTGCGCTACTCGTTCCGTGTCAAGGCGGTGGGCAGGGGCTACATCGACATGGACCGCCCAACCATCCACCAGAGTGAGCGCACAGGCTGGCGTGGAGGTTGGACCGCAGGGGAGGCCGGCTGCGGGACTGCCGCTGGGGCAGCGCCATTGATGGGCTCTCCAATCGGGGAGCTGCACCTCTTTGCTTGCCTGCCCGCAGTCAAGCGTGCGTGGACGGTAACGCTGCACAAGTACAACTACGGCATCCAGGAGGTTGGGGTGCAGGGCCTCACCATCAGGTTCAAAAAGTGAGGAGCGGCGTGTGCGGCAAGGCTTTGCGGCATCGGCGCTGTCTTTGCCTGCTCCCAGCTGTCGGCAGCTGGCCCAAGGCTTAGCCGACTGCCCGGGCGGTCCTCCCCACCACCCGGGCAGTCCTCCCCACCACTGGCAGTTGCCCATTGTACATTCCCCTGCCCCCACCCCATCCTTTGCCTGCAGCTCCGGCGTATATGGCGACCACCTGACCGACCGCGGCTACAACGCCATCCAGCTGGAGGGGCTGCGTAACGCGTGGGTGCGGGACGTGCGCATCCTCGGCGCAGACAACGGCGTGTTTGTGGCCAATGCGGAGTTTGTGACGCTGGCATGTGAGCTGCCTCGCCCCCCACCCCCCACCGCCTTCTGGGGCGGTTGGCCTGCCTGTTGGTCCGGTGCCGCTGCCTGCCAGCTGTGCACAGAGAACAATGGACAAGGATCGTGTTACCTGAAGCCATCCCGACTGCCATTCGCGCGGCCTGCAGCCATCACCGTCAACACCACGCGCTCCCGTGCTGGGGGGCCCAAAGTGGAGGCAAACCTGCAGGGCCACCACGCCCTCAGCACCTCCCTGGGGCAGAGCGTTCTGATCAGCAGGTGATCTGGCAGGCCGATGATCTGCGACTCGGTCACGTTGCCGCAATTCATTCATTCATTCAGCACACAGCCCGGCCGCCTCTTGCTCGAGGGCGGCCCACTTTGGCCTGGGCCGCCCGGGCCGCCCTCCCCCCCGGGCGCATGTTCGGTGTTGGAGGGGTGTGCCCAGCGATAGGGGGCCCCTGAAGGCATGCGCCGAGGCCGGGAAGCGTGGTTCGGCGCTGCTGCACGCTTGGCGATTTGACCAGAACCACGTGCCGCCGAGCTGCGGCCGCAGTTTCCGGCCCACGGTCTACGGTCGCAGCCACGGGACTCGGCGGCACGGCGTTTGGGCCCAAGCTTGCTGCCGCCGCCGCCGTGCCCGGGGGGCAGCGCGGCGGCGGCGGCACGCTGCGACGCCCCCGTGCTGCCGAGCTGCGGCCGTAGTTTCCTGCCAGAAGCCCACGGCCACAGCCACGGGACTCGGCGGCACGGAGTTTCGGTCCACGGCTTGCTGCCGCCGCCGTCGCAGGGGTGCTGCCTGCGGCGGCGGCGGCACGGCGTTTGGGTCCACGGCTTGCTGCCGCTGCCGCCGCCGCAGGGGTGCTGCCTGCGGCGGCGGCGGTAGCGCACGTGGCAACCCCCCGCGTTTCCTTGCCTCCCATCCACTCGGACTCTGTCCTGCGCTTCACTTTGTTTAGGGAGGGGCTGCTCACTGCTCATTGCTCATTGCTCATCGCACACTGCTCAACGCTCATTGCCCTATATCCCACCCAGCCGCAGGACTCCACTGCCGCCCGCGCCCCGCCCCATCTGGCCGCTTGCGCGCCCCATCCCCCCTCGATGGGGCCCGCCCACACCGGGGCCTCCCCCCTCCCGCCCACTGCTTTCTCAACGGCCCCGAGCCGGGGCTGCCCTCATTGCATACATAGTGCGCCTTTCCCTGCTTTTCTAGTGACCTAGCGTTCCGCACTGCCGTTTGGCCAGCCCATGCTCCCGTACCGTTGCGTTTCTCCCCAATGCGCCATGCCACTTTGCCAGTCATACACACGTTTCGATGCGTGCCCTGTCAGCTGCTTGCGTTGCATGTCGCCTTGCTCCACCCCTGTTTTATTGCTTTCTCTGCTTTCGCCCGGTTCCCGTCCCGTTTCGGCGGGGAGTCTATGTTGCAAGCTAGTTCTTGCTTTACCAGACTTTAAGCCCACACAAGCAAGCAGGTGAGCAGCGGCAGCCAGTCAGCCAGCCAGCTGGCGTGGAGGCCCTGAGCAACTCATGCACATCGCGACTAGCCAGCCAACCTGCCTTGTGCCTCCCGCTGCCGCCAGGTTCAACATTGCAAAGAAGTACTGGCATGATGTCACGCTGAGTGGTGGTGCTGAGCTGTGTGTGGTGCATAGAGGCAAGGGGCTGGACCTAAACGTGGACTACCACCGGGCAGGTGAGGCCAGGTGGCGGCCAGCGGCATTGTTGTGTGCTGTGACAGGGCCGATCCTGTCTGGCCACTTTGCGTGTCCAGGTCGGCGGTGTGCCTGGCTAACCTGGTAAATGCCTGGCGCTGCCTGCAGGGCCGTGGGCAAACCTGCTGACAAATACGGATTTTGGGCTCGCCAACCGCCCCTTTGCCAGCGGAGGCCGCGGCGACCGTGGGGCCAATACAGGCAAGCACCAGGGCGCTGCGGGCTTGCGACGGTGCGGGGAGGGAGGCCCCTTGATGTGTAGCCGGGGCATGGCGGCCCACGTCATGCCTGCATGCCGCCTTCGCAGGCCGCGGCAGCGTCTTTTGGAACGTGTACCCCGGCGGTGGGGAAGGGGCGCTGAGTCTGCCTGCCAAGTGCGACTTCGGTCCGCTGTTGACCTTCTACGGACGGTTCAAGGGGAAGACGGTGAGCGTGGACGGAGGCGCGCATCATGCCGGTGCATAATGCTGGTGCCACCAGCCCTGCGTGGGCACTGGCACGGCTCTGCCCAAATTGAGGCGGCGTGTTGCACCTGCCCCCCATCTTTGTGTTGCAGTGCCCCGCATCCGGGTGGACCGTGAGGCGGATGCCTAGCGGGGCACCCGCCGACCTGTACCTGGCGCAGGTGCAAGAGCGGCGGCGCCTCATGCGGCGCCTGGCAGCCGGCTGACCCCCCATCAAAACTTGTGTACTCCTCTCCTACCTCCCCTTTTGCCACGTATACATATATAAGCTGTTTTGACCCGTGATATTCATTTGCTCTTCCTTGCCTTGTGTTGTGCACACTGTATGGCCATGCGGCGGCGGCGGCGGCGGCGGCGGCGCCATGGACTGGTGCCTCGTACACAGCGCCATATCTCCGCCCTTTGTTCCACCTCGAGTGTGGATGCCCCCGAGTTGTGAAACAACACATGTAGGGGAGACACCTGTCCAACTGGGGCTTGAGAAGCTGCGAGGAATGGGGGCTGCCGGGCCGCGGTTTTCCTTCATTTCACCCTGCAAGAGTCCAGTTCTGCTGTCACATCCATTTCGACCACCGCCAAGCACCCGCGTTCCAGTTGGTACCAAGCGCAACCTCGGAGCACAACAGTGTCCACCTACCGGTGAGTGTGGGGGGCTGCAACATGTACTCACCAATCCAGGGAGCGTTTGTCGGCAGGTTGGGGCACTGCTGGCCCACAGGCGGGCTCCCTCGTGGACTGCCTTTCAAGCGAGCCGCTGACGCTCTTCAGCCGTCTTCCCGAACCTCCTCCCAAGGACAGCAGGGCACAAAGGCGCCAGTTGCATCCCGGAGGAGACGGGTGTAGGCACAGATGGCGGCGTCATTGACCGCCGCCATCTGTCGAGCGCCAGCCCGGTTGCACCTCCAACCCCTGCTCCCGGCCCCCACCCTGCAGGCAGGATCATGAGGATGGGAGACCTGCCTCTGCACCGTGCAGCAGCGCAGGGCCAGGAGGCCAGGGTGCTGGAGCTGCTGGCGGCTGAGCCTGGCAGCGCCGCCGAACAGACTGCTGACGGCACCACCGCCCTGCACCTGGCTGCGGCCGGCGGCCACGAGCTCATCGTGCGCCACCTGATCAAGGCTGGCCCTGCTGCCCTCTTCGCCACTGACCGGCTGGGACGCCTGCCGCTGCACTGCGCCATTGTGGCGCGGCACGCGCCGATTGTGCGCGTCCTACTGTCAGAGGCCGCCCACACCGCAACTGCGCTCAACGCCTACCCCAACGCCTGCTGCCGCGGCTCTACACCCCTGCACTGGGCCGCTGACGCCGGAGACACCGACATCGTGGCCCTGCTGCTAGCGGCTGCCCCGCAGACTGCAACCTGGTGCAACTCCCATGCACACTCTGCCCTGCACTTTTGCATCTTTGGCGCGCACCGCTGGGAGGTGGGCGGCGGCGAGGCGGCGGCCGTGGCACGGCTGCTGCTGGGCGCCGGCGCCACCGCCACCGCAATCGACTCGGACGGCGACACCCCGCTGCACTGCGCCGCGCTCAAGGGGTGCGTGGAACTGGTGGAGCTGCTGGCCGCCCAGGCGCCCGCCACGGCAGCAGAATGCAACCACGCCGGCCAGCTGCCCATCACGTGCGCGCTGGCAGAGGCGGCGGCGCTGGTGGACTGGAGCCGTGCCGCGGAGCCGGGGCCCTGCGCCGAGGAGCGTCCCCAATTCGAGGCCTTCATGCGCTGCTCCAGGCTGCTGCTGCCGTACGGCCCCACCCAGCAGCTGGTGGAGGCGCTGGCGGCGGCAGGCCCCGTAGCGCTGCCGCTGTTTGGCGACCTGGTCGCCTGCCGGCGCCTGTCGCCCGAGCAGTGGCAGCTGGTGCCCGCCGGCTGCCCCGGGCTGGGCGCGGCGCTGCCCGCCGTCATGCAGCGCTCGTGCACCGAGGCGGGGTGCCTGGCGCGGCGGCTTCCCGAAGCCGACCGCGCCGCTCTGCATGCCGCGCTGCTGGCGCTGGCGCGAACGCAGCGCCAGCTGGGCGTGGCGCTGCCCGCGGATGTGGCCCGGCAGACGCTGTGCTTCCTGTGCCAGGAGTGATGTCGATACCACGCTCTTCTATGTTGCCGTACTGCCCTCTTCTTCCAGTACCACTCTTCGTCCACCTTGCAAAGCTGCCCCTCGGTGTACCCGCTTCAATATGTTGTGCTGTGCTTGTGCCCCACTCAGACCTGCCTGTGCACTGCCGCCCACTTCTAAGCACTGTCTGGTTGTCCCTTCTGCACTGCCTCATGTATTCTTCCATGCCGCATGTTGTTGTACCGCCCCTTGCCACTCACCCATTCATGCAATGGGTGACCCTTGCATGATTGTAATATACATTTCCTCAACAGAAAGGAGGGACAAAACACTACGAGTGCAGAGGGAGCTGCAGGTGCCACCAAATGCAAAGCCCCTAGCAGCATCTGAGCCTGCGGTGACCCAGGTATCAGCCGTGAATGGCAGGGCCATCTGGGATGCCTTATAGGTGCCCTATAGGTGCCCTATAGGTGCCCCATAGGACTCTCTGAGCAGCAGGTTGCTTTACAAAGTACAGAATGTCAGACACCGCTCGTGGAGGGAAGAGTATGCAGAGGGTACGGTGAGATTGAATCAGTTTAATGGCAGTATCGCACAGGCAGAAACAGAAAACTGGTGTTCACAGGTATTGAACCGCATGCTACAATGGAAGTGCATTCATTGAAATGGATGTAGGCTGGTCACAGGTTGGCGTCGTTGAGGTCCACAGGTGGGCCTAGCCCCTCCCCCTCACCGCCGCCGCCGCCGCCAGACGCAAACTCGGGCTTGAGCACCCACGCCTTGCCGCCGCCGCCTGGGCGCCGCTGCAGCCGGGCCACCTGCTTCAGCACGCCGCGGAACAGCGGCAGCTGGGCGGCGCCCACGCTGGCCTGGAAGTGTGCCACCAGGTCGGTGGAGGCGGCGGCGCCTCCGCGCGCCTCCAGGAAGGAAGCCACCTGGGCAGCCAGCAGCTGTGCCTGCTCCACAGCGGGGTCTGCCGCGGTCGCCGCCGCCGCGGCGCTGGCCACCGCCGCCTGCCGCTCCCGCAGCCGCGCCAGGATGTCGCTGCTGCGCGGCGCCGCGCCCATGACGCTGCCCGCCTGCAAGCCGGCGGTACCGCTGGGCCCGCCGACGGCGGCGCCGCCAAAGCGGCGGGCGCCGCCGCCGCCGCCCAGCGCGGCCGCCGCCGCGGCTGCCGCCGCCTCCTGCTGGGCCGCCGCCGCCTGCAGGCGCGGGTTGGCTGCCCGCCCAAAGCGCGGCTGGCCGGCGCCGCCGCCAGGCAGCCCCGCGGCCCCAGACCTGCCTGTCCATGTGGGCTGGCTGACGGGCGCCTGCCGGCACTGCAGGCGCGACTGGCGCAGCGCCTCGGCGGCGCGGCGCGCGATGCGGGAT